CTCTTTGCTTCCAGGGGATCTTTTTCTGTTCTGCATCAGACATCCCATAAAGTCTTTTCATTTGCTCCAGGAAATTAAATGTTGGACATCATAACTTTGGAACATTTGTTGGGATATAGATAAAATGAATTATAAAGGTATAAAGTAATATTAATCATCATGGGTGGCATTTTTTCAGCTTCACTCTGTTAAGGCATTTAGTGCAGATGCTTAGCTTAAATTTAAATGCATCTAACTGTAATAGTTAAAAAATTCCCCCTGTAACATAAATGCACTAGAGCCAAAATATGCAGAAGGACCCAGATCCCATTTGATCTGACAAACTAAGTAGTGCCAGGCTTGGTTAGTACTTGGAAGTGAGACATCCAAGGAAAAGCAGGTGCTGTCATAGACTGTATTTAAGAGGAAGGTAATGACAAACCAGCTCTGAGTACTCCTTGCCTAAGCAAACCCTACAAAATCTGTGGGATCACCATCAGTCAATAGATGACCTGAAAGAATATGTACAAACACAGAACACAAATACAATTAAATTATGGTTTGCTTGTTTTTAACTTCTTAGTGATTAACTAAATACATTAACCCTTATACAGTAGCTATGTGAGCTATTCAGTGTGTTAGTTAACAAATATCAATTAACTTTCATATCTCTGATAAAGCCCAGGCACAATAAACTGGATCCAGAATAGAGTCATTAGAGTAAAAACAGGAGAGGGCTCCTGTCCCTTTAATAGTTGAGGGAATTCAACAGGTGTGTTAAACCAGGTAACAGGCATCACCTGTTGAAATGCCCTGTTCTTCACAGCCATTAAATGGAGAGAAGCTGTCTTCAGTTTTCATCCCAGTATCCCTAATTGCCAGGAGGATACAGGAATAAAGAAGCTCAGTTTAATTGTATACCTTGGAAAAGCTCAAGTCTACCTTATGAATCAAGGGCCACAAGGGACGGAACATTTTGACATATCCATACCTGAAGAGGGTTCTCATCAAAACACACACACACAAGTCATTTTCTTCCTAATGAACAAAAGCATTCAACTTCCTTGAACAACTCACAAACAGAAGATAATGTAGGTGCTTTGGAGACTCCATTATCCAAGAGTAGCTTTTCAAAAGAAATCTGCAAACAAGTCAGTACAAAATGAAAATCACAGGAAGGCAAAGATGCAACACAGGATTTCTTTACATAGCCAAATAACCCCTTTGTTGTTGTGTGACTTTAAGTCATTTTCAATGTATGGAGACCCAAAGGTGACTCTATCATGTGTGTGTGCGTGTTGCATGTTTCATCAGAGGGCTTGCCATTGCCATCTTCTGAGGCTAGAGTGTGACTTGCCCAAGGCCACCCAATGGGTTTACATGGCTGAGCAGGGATTTGAACCCTGATCTCCAGAGTCATAGTCCAATGTTCATACCACTACACCACACTGGTCTACTAAATAATCCCTACCTTATCTATATATTTTTAAAAAAGCTTTTGTCTGCGAGAGGAAAGACAACAGAGCCTAGCCTCCCATGGAAGGGAAGTCCACAGATGGAGATTATTATAGAATCATAGATCAAAGAGTTAGAAGAGACTTCAAATGCCACTCAACTTCTGTTTAAAGACCTTGAAACAAGGAGAATCCACCACTCTCAAAGGCAGTCTATTCTTCTGTCAAACAGCACTTAGAAGCAAGAAAATTTTCTTAATGTTTAGGTCAAATCTCTTATCTTGCAATTTGTATCCATTGGTTTGTGTTCAAGTCTCTGGAGCAGGAGAAAGTTCTACTTGACATCTGTGCATATATTTAAAGATGACTATCATATCATCTTTCAGTCATACCCACCTCCCTAAGATTCCTCATATGGCTTCATGTCCATATCTTTTACCATTTTGGTCACCCTTCTCTAAACACGGTCAACACAATATTCTAGATGAGGTCTGAACAAAGCAGAATAGATTGATACTGTGACTTCCGTCAGTTTGGACACTATATTTCTGTTGATGCAGCCTAGAATTGCATTGACTTTTTTGGCTGCCCAATCCCAATCATGTTCAGGATGTTTTGTTTTATTTTAATTCCTCCTAAAGTCAAAATGGAATCTCTTTTTTCTTACCATTCAGACGCATTTGTTGATGTCCCTTGTGTCTATACTCTGGTGCCTTGCATCTCTAGTCTCTGGAGCAGCAGAAAACATGCTCATTCCATCTTCTACATGACATCCTGTAAAATATTTAAAGACAACTGTTATTACCTGCAGTTGGATCTCATTATCTGAGGCTGGGCTCAGCAGAAACTAATGAAAGGAAATAAAATAAATGGATCTCTACTTCCAGTGAACTTGTTTTCTGCATGTACATTGTATTGTATGGGGACTGACCTTCATACCATGGCTGGGGGAGGGAGACATGAAGCAGCAAGCATTTTAGACAGCATTTTAAAAGTTATACAGTGTGGTAAGTAAAGTTCTTTTATTTTGTGCTGATGTGTAGGCGCCTTCAGTACACACACATACTGGTCTCTTGTTTCTTGCTTTTATCAAGCTTGCAGCAACAAATATTAGTCTCTGCCTTTAGCTATTCAGTGTGTAAGTGCTCTTTAGTGCTTTCTTCCACTGATTCAGGAAGTGAAGAGCTCCACTTTGCAAGGTCAGGTGCCTTTGGGAGAGATGGGAGGAAGGTAGAAAGCATTATTATATCTTGGTGAAGATCTGCTAAAATTACATAATATCCTTTTTTGTCCCAAAGAATGGTGCCCACTTAGCTTAACTGAATCCGGTTTTGCTTTGGTGGGAGCAGCAGGACGCAGAATTGGGAGGTCAGGTCATATTGCCGAATGGATGCCAGGAATATTTATTGTGCCTTTTTAAAGGAAGTGATGGACACTTTGCAAATGTCTTAATGGAGCATCATCTTTTTGGAAGATGGCTTTATTTTTTAGGTCCCTTTACTTACCTGCTTGCTGTTCCAGGCCAGACTTTGACTGCCAACATTTTCCTTAAGTTCCGATCTGCTTCTAAAGGCTGAAGAAAACTTTACCTAAAAATTCATGCAACAAACTCAGAGGGTTAATCTTGTTAGTACAAGAAGCCATGCCAGGAGAACAACACGAAGATCAGAAAAGATGGGGGGTAGGAGTGTATCCTCCAACTGTCTTGATTTGGCAGGACAGTCCCAATAAATACTCTGTCATCCCACTTTTTCAACTATTTTTATAATGTTAAATTAAATGTAGCATTTTGCTTTTGCCTGAGTTTACAAGGAAGGGAAATATTCCCCCTCTTCTTTCCCCATCTGGATTAACTGAGCGCAAACTACTTTCGTATTTTGAACTCAAGTTGCAGGAATTGAAATAAACTGAGCAAGAAGGGGGAAAGGAAGAAAGAGAATCAGGGAATTTTAAAAGCAACTGAAAAAGTGGGACGACAGAGGATTAATCAGGACCGTTCCTGCCAAATCAGAAAGGTTAGAGAGTATGGGCTAATACCAGCTCATAACCATGTCCTCTATAAATTATGTCTAAACTGACATGTGCTGGCTGACTTTAGCCCAGAAACCCAAACTTTAGAGTAAAACATCAAGCTTTATTCAGAAACCAAAACAGTTCACAGTATGAGGATGTTGTTAAGACTAAAGAAATTTCAGTTACACAGTACATTCAAAGCACAAAGCATTCAAACATTCAAACCCCATTTGTTCCTAAACCAAAATACCCCTCTTCTGGGGACAGAACTGACCTCCCCAGATCCCAGTTCCTGTTACTTCCCCTTCCCAACTGCTCCTTAACCAACTCCTGCATAGATAAATATCCTTTCCACCCAACAATACCAAAGATATGAAATAGCCCACTGTCCCATAATATAAATAAAGTAATCAATGAAGTACAAGCATGGCAGGAACTATGTAGGACTCGGATCCTTACATGGGGAAGAGGTCTACAGGTCCTAGAATACAAATGGCTATTTTCTGGCTTAGGGATTCTTGGAGTTCTATTCCAGAAATAAATTTTCCAAGTTCTGATCTAAAGTTCTGTCTAGTATGCTTCAGCTGTGGATTCCCTGCATTGGCTTGGGATGGAACTGGATGGTTCTTCAGCACAGTTCCAATGTTAGATCTAGAAGTCTATATGTTGACTGATGCATCTGAGGAAGTAGACCAAGTCTGCAACTTCTTCTACACACTTAAGTCTTCAGCACAGTTCCAATGCTACAAATTCTGTGATTCTATTAATTTAAACTCAGGCTGTTCTGCTATTACTAAAATGTCCTTCAATTGCACTTAAAAAAAAGACTGCTGAAATTTATTTTTAAGCTTTCCATCTTCCACTAACCAATTTCAAAACATAGCTAGCTGTACTGCTTGCTTTGTTTCAGTCAGCCTTCCAGAATTAATTAAAGCTAAATGCTTCTCAGTAAGGCTATTTGTTTTCTGTTCCAGTTGGAATTCATGTTTGTTTGTTTCAATTGGGTTCTTTTATTGTTCAGTTGAATGCTATAGACTGCTAGGAGATCTCAGCAGCGACAAATGTCTTTAACTAATTGAACATCACAACAAAAGTAGTGATTAGGATTCTGCTATATGCATTTGCATCTAAAGCTTAGCTCCACTCTAATGTGTTCAGAGATAGCACAAGCCCTGTAGCCATAGAATTCTGGATCTCTTTTCTGTGTACAAAAATATAGCACTTTAATACCACTTTAGCTGCCATGGGATTTATAGTTTTGTGAGGTTTGTAAAATTCTCTGCCAGACAGCTCTAGTGCCTTAACAAACTACACTTGTCCCTCTACATTCACTGGAGTTAGGGGCACAGGACCCCCATGAATGTGGAAAAACCACAAATAACAAAAACACTATGTTTTTATCTGAGAGAACACCTCTCTAGGAATCTCTAGGTCCTCCAGTGCAACTCTGTGGTCATCATCTGTCAAATGTTGACCATAGAATTGTGCTGGAGGAGCTACAAATGTCTAGTGGAGTCTTCTTTCTAGGAATCTCTTGGTCCTTCAGCGCAACCATGAATAATCAAATCCGCAATAGTCAAAGCTGCAAATGTGGAGGGACAAGTGCACTTTCATTCCTATTGACATCACAACTGAGGTGGCCGCTGAGATGTCTGATGCTTTATTCAGACAAATAAATATTGTCAATCATTTTATTAAATCCTTTGCAACTTTACAATATCTGTCCGGGATCCAAGTTCTACCTGAAAACAGTGCCATGTTCAATTGCCTTATTCAGTTACGTAAAATTACTGAATAAATCTCCCCTGTAGTTGTTGTGGGGTGAGGATTGATTTCCCCCAACCCCCAGGTTTCAGGGCCTTGGCTTGTAGTGGTTGTAAACCTGGGAGAGGCTGACACCCGCAATCTCCTGAAAGACATAGGGGAACTTCTTGATTTTTTTTTAAATGGGTGCTAGTGGTGGGAATCAGAGTGCACTGAGGTCCCTGGGTGTCCCATAGGCCTCAGTTTGCCCACCTCTGCCAAAGACAGGCAAGGAAAAAGATGTTTTCATCCCTGTCCATTCGATACTTGCATCATATATGTGCATGAATTGATCTGCTGATGCAATGCGCACCAGGGCCACCATTGTGGCACTGCATTTGTCTGAGTGGGTAGCAAGCAGCAGGAAGATGCTGGATTTCCATGCAAATCAAAGAGTTGGAAGAGACCACAAGGACTGTCCATGCAGGAAGAAACATGGGCTGTACCATGCAGGAAGAAACAGTCAAAGCACTTCCAATAGATGGCCATCCACGCTCTGCTTAAAAACCTCCAAAGAAGTCAACTCCACCGTATTCTGAGGCAATGTCTTGACCCTGTTTAACTTGACCCAAGTCTGACCCTGTTTAGCTTCCAAGATCAAATGGGAACTGGTACTTTCAGGCATTTCGGCTTATCACATGGGTTTAAATCCTACTGTTAGTCCCAAATAGATTAGAACCATGGAATCACTTGGATTTGCCTACAACAAGTCTGTTCTTGTAGGGACTAACCAACAGGATTGCAACCATACACTCCTACATTCTTGGAGGATGTGAACTATTTGTGAATGCTTTCTCATAGAATCATACAGAATCATGGTGTTTGGAGTCTAACCCTCTGGCATGAAGGAATAGACAACTAAAGTGCTCCTGAAAGATGGCTGTCCAATCACTGTTTAGAGGCCTCCAGAGAAAGAGAGTCCACCACCCTCAATGTACTACTTTCTTCACTGGGATTGCAGAAACAGCCACTGTGCATTCCCCAGTTTACAATGGGGACAATTGAAACAATAAGAAGACATGTTGGCAGATACACTGTTGATTGTACAAGTTTGGCATTCAGCGGATGGGTGGCACAGGACAACCAAGCTGTCATCATGTGGGTGTAGATTTACACTATATAAATCTACAAGTATGATATAGGATTTAAACTCCTTGCGTGTGTGGGTTTTTTTTTTAAAAAT